CTGCTGACCTCACAAAAGTGTTGTGGGTGGTCTCCCAAAATTATACTTGGTTTTGAAACTACCACTGTTGCTGCTACCTGTAGAGCATCTTGCTACTGGGAACACTGCCTTGGGCTCAGAGTCAGCATGACTTCTTATTTAAAGGTCAGATTAGGGTTTTAGAAGCCAAGCCACTTCATCTCAGACTGCCGCAGGCAATCCTGATGCCAGCGTGGTGTGTCAGGGCCGGCAATTTCCTCGCTGTTAAGGTAATGACACGTGGCTTCAAACCGCGCCTTAGTAAACTGCTTCTTCATAACATCCTTTACCGTTCCCAGAGCTCATAGTGCACATACGTTTCAGTTTTAAAGCAAATAAATAAATAAGTAAGAAAGAAAGAAAAAGAAGAAGAAAAAGGAAGAAAAACATCCATTTTATTGCCTGAAGATAACTGTGTCAAAAAAGAAAAACCACTCCGTCACTGAGATACAAACAGACTCTAGCTCACATTTCATGTCAATTTCTTCCCTTTGCTCCTGCAACAATCTCCAGCAGTTGCTAGAAGAACACAAGGCTCTTTCATCTATAATCAATAAAGTTAGTTTATACATTAAACAGTTTCAGAAGATACATATTTTACATGTTTAATGAATTTAACATGCATTTAGTCCAGCAAAATCATTGTCTAGACCAAGATAATGTATTGTGGCCTTTGTCATTTTGAAATAGGAAGTGATTAAATTAATGAATACATGCCTTATTTTCTAAAGATTGCAAAAAACTTATTGATGTCATAGGGATTCTTTTAATGAAAAACAATTAGTATCTTTCCCATGGCCTATTCTGTTACTGAAACCTCAGCACTTGTCCCCAACACCACAACAAAAGAACGAGGACAAGTGGTTTGAGGAGAAGGAAAGAGGAGTTTATTAATTTGCAGGCAAATGAGAAGGATGGAGACTCCTGTCTTAAAATGCTGTTGTCCTGATCCTAAGCAGAAATACAGAGCTTTAGAGGGTTCTCGGGTTCAGGGTGTTCTGATCTGTCCCATCTCCCATCTTGAGGGAAGACAATCTCGTGACTTCCACCCAGACCTCCCTGAGCCAGCTCCTTTGGCACAAAGAACCAAGGACACTCCTCTGCCCCACCCAACCACTGGTCTGAGTCAGAAGATGAAGGTTTTAGTTACCAAAAAGAATGGGTGAGGTTTTAAAGAAACAAATCATTTTTAACACTTTTTCAGGCCGTTCTCTCTGTTACAATTATATTGGACATATATTTATTGGGAGAAATGATTTTATAATAAATTCCTGGAGACCCAGTTGTCCAAATTTTCTAATCAGGGTTATCTTAATTAAATGATAAAATCATAACCATATTTTGTTAAAACAGAGAGTATGCTGTGATCTTAACAATTGTTTAGGGTTTGCTTTTAAAGTTTTGTTATTGTGATGTCATGACAGATCACATGGTTTTGCTCCACAGTTCCTGGCTCATTGGTCCCATAGCCATTGTTACGGTAAACAGAACCTCTCTGACCTCTCCTCCCCTCCTTGCTCCTGCTAGAGAGGTCCTGCCCCACACCCTGGAGAAAGGATGCTGCACAGAAATGCCAAGAAGAATCTGAACAGACAGGCCTTCCTGGGTTTAGAATGTCCCTTTTCCCCAATCACATTTTAACACAGTTATCCATGCCTAGGTGACGAAGCCTCTTTTTTTTTTTTTTTTGAGACAGAGTCTCACTCTGTTGCCTGGGCTAGAGTGAGTGCCGCCAATCGCGCCTCAACCTAGCTCCACAGCAACCTCAACTCCTGGCTCAAGCAATCCTTCTGCCTCAGCCTCCCAAGTAGCTGGGACTACAGGCATGCACCACCATGCCCGGCTGATTTTTTCTGTATATCTTTAGTTAGCCAATTAATTTATTTCTATTTTTAGTAAAGACGGGGTCTCGCTCTTGATCAGGCTGGTTTCGAACTCCTGACCTTGAGTGATCCGCCCACCTTGGCCTCCCAGAGTGCTAGGATTACAGGCGTGAAACACCTCGCCTGGCCAGAAAGCCTCCTTAAAAGCCCAAAGGGATGGGGTTCAGGAGCTTCTGGAATGCTGACCACACGGAGGTTCCTGGGGGGTGGTCCTGCCAGGAGGGCATGGAAGCTGCACACGCTTTCCCCCTACCTCACCCAATGCATCTCTTCACCATATCCTTTGTAATAAATATCCTTTATATTAAACAGTAAGTGTTCGTCCTGCAGATCTTCAGCCCATGTCAGCAAATTAATCAAACCCAAAGAGAGGATCATGGAGGCTGGGCGCGGTGGCTCACGCCTGTAATCCTAGCACTCCGGGAGGCCGAGGCGGCGGATGCCTCAGGTCAGGAGTTCAAAACCAGCCTGAGCGAGACCCGTCTCTCCGATAAGAATAGAAAGAATTATGGCCAATATATTAAAATAAAAATCAGCCGGCATGGTGGCTTTGCCTGTATCCCCAGCTACTTGGGAAGCCTGAGGCAGGAGGATCGCTTGACAGAGTTTGAGGTTGCTGTGAGCTAGGCTGATGCCACAGCACGTCACTCTACCTAGGCAAGAAAGCGAACTTCGTCTCAAAAAAAAAAAAAAAAAAAGAAGGAATCATGGAACCCCACCTTGAAACTGGTCAGTCAGAAGGTTTGGAGGCCCAGATTTGAGACTGATGTCTGAAGGGGGGCAAGTCCTTAGGTTCCCTCAAGCTGTGGGAGTGAACACTGTCCCCAGGTAGATAATATCAGAACTGAATTAGGGGACACTCAGCTAGTGTTTGCTGAAGAATTGATTGCTTATTTGTTGGTGGAGAGTTCACATTTTTTCACAGAAGTCTTCTGTGTTCATTGTTGCCTTGGTGTGCGAGCAGAGGAAAAAACACGGTTTGGGTGTTTTTCCCAGATAGTCTCAGATACTTTCTGCATTAAAAAAAAAATGTAGTTTGGGTGGAGGTAGAAGAAAGTTCAGACTACACTCTGGGACTATATATACACATATACATATATACACATATGTATGTATGCATACATAACACATGTATGCAGATATACATGCAAATATAAATACATATCATCAATATATGCACACATGATGCATATGTACACAAACACACTGTATACATTTGCGTGCATCTATGTGTGTGTGTGTGTATATATATATTCCATAAAACCATTGCTGCTGCCACTTTATGTGCCATCTTAATAAGTCAGTTTGAATGGGTCTTTTCTATCCTCATTGGAGCCTCAAACTCTTTGAGAGATTGTAATCCCATCCTTCATGTTCTCTGCTGTTCAACATCCAAGACAACAGGACACTAAGTACTTAAGAAGCAGCATTGCTGTTTTTTTCAAGGCATATGACTAACTTTTAACAAATGGCTCCTCGCCACAAGGCCCTGAGTGTATATACAGGTCATAAGACAGGCATTGTTTTACACAGTCGGCCCCTCTGACTCTAAAGTCAACACTCATCTCTAATTCCTTGTCATCCTAATAGTGCTGACACCTCAACAGACAGCTGGATCCAAGACCATCACCAACTGGAAGGCTCTGCTTAGATGTCTATCCCTGCACTGTGTATTTTTATAACCCTCCACTGCCAGTACACAGGGTACACAGCAACTAAAGGACATTTTCTTTCCATAAGTTCTACGATGTACACCTTTTCCTCATATTTCCCATTGCCACCTTTCCCAGAATGCCTACAGGGACGCAGCCTATGCGTAAGAGTTCTGTATACTCAGTGCTCAGGGTTTGCTGCGGTCAGAGGAAACTGCAGGAGCTAAAAATAGAAACCGTTAGGCAGGATCAAAGTAAACTAATGCTCATCACTCAATTATATCGCACAATTATAATAGCTTTCTCAAGTTCCATAGATAGTATTTTTTTTTACTTTTTATTTTGGGATCCAGTCTAAATATTTCATCATTTCCATTCTAATTTATTTTTTTATTGAAGGGTGTCATGGCCCGATTACAGGACGGGGGATGACACACAGAACATATACATAAGACGCAGACAGACAGAATTGGCTGCAGTCCCAGAAGAAGAAAGGACACAGAGATAGGAGACGGTTTCAGACTGCAGCAGCCAAACTCTGCCAGTCACTTATTTCATACAGTTTAATTGGGCAAGCGTCCCACGGCTATTTTCTCATGCCAGCTACTTTCCCAGCTACCTTTTGGTACGTGACTTCCCACAGCCAACAACACCTACTTTTCCAGTCAAAGCAAAAAGCATGGCCTTCTACAAGAGGTCTCTTTGATGTTTGGTTCTGTTTTCAGATAACAAACAATCTCGGCTCGAGTGCGAGACCAGGAGGCCTTGACCGTCTTGCAGCGCCTAGCACCGCGCGCTGGTTCCCAGGCTACCTTGGCTCCCACGCGAGGCCACAGGTCCTTGGCCGTTTGCCTGGAGAAACAGTTTCTTCTGTGGGGGCGCCTCGATGGCGCCTCGGCAGCGTCTCAGTGGCACAACAAAAAAGGAATTTTCCCCCTCTTTGTGTGAAGTAGGGTGAGGCAATTAGCGAACAGCACACATCTGTTTATACCTCCGGTTATCTCTTGGGTTGTGAAGAAAGGCGAAAGGGAGGTGGGATGCGCAGGGATCGCGCAGGATACTAAGAAAATTAATCACTTCAAAGGTCAGCTCATGGCCAGCGCGTGATTAGTTTGTGCGTTGCTAGGGCCCTTTGGGGGGGGATAAAAGGCACCCCGCAATTCAGGTCGGGGTCCTTGCCTGCGAGAGTGGCCACTGCGTTGGTGCTCTGGGGCTTGGACCCTGGCTAGCCAGAAAATAAACCTCCTCTTGTGTGATTGCATCCTCAATGTCTCTGCTTTTCTGTCTAGCCAGAAAATAAACCTCCTCTTGTGTGATTGCATCCTCGATGTCTCTGCTTTTCTGTCCGGTGGGGCTGTGGAAGGTCGGTCCCTAACACTTCAGCCGGTCAACAAGCCATGTTCTGCTAATTGTGGGAACAAGCAATGGGCTCCCGCTCTGTTGACTTGGGGTCTCAGCCAATCTGACCCTGGGACGGCTCGCTTCAGCTCACTTCAGAAGGGTGTGTATTATATTATAATTTTGTTGTTGTTAGTTTTCTATTTTGATTGCACTGGTATGAGGTAACATGAAGTATAAACTCTCACTAAACCATTGAAATTTGTTAAAATATGAAGTGTAACTTGGAGTCAATTTTTAAACATGTTTTCAATACAGTTTGAAAGAATGTGTATTCTCTTATTTTGTAGGGGGAAGATTGCATATTTGAGAATTAGAGTGAGTTAACTATATCATTCAAATTTTGACTTTTTGTCCACCTGTTCTGTTAGCTTCTGAGAGTATATGAAAATCTGGAAAAAAAGTGATTATCGATTTGTAAATATTCTCTTGTAATTCTGGCGGTTTTAACTGTGAACGTTATGCTGTTTTTATGTGTACATAGGTGCAGGATCATGGTATCTTCTTGCAGAATTGTTGTTCCTCACTGCTAAATGGCTATAGTTAGCTCTGTGTTCATTTTCCAGGGCTGTCGTAACAATGTGCCACAAACTGGGCGCTAAAACAACAGTAAGTCATTGCCTGGTAGTGTGGGAGACTGAAACCTACAGTCACGGTGCCAGCAGGGCTGGTTCCTCCTGTGGCCGTGAGGGAGGTTTTGTTCCAAGCCTCCCCTGGGCTTGTACATGAGCCTTTTCATTTTCACATGACTTTCTGGCTTTCACCCTGTGTGTCTGTGTCCTAATGTCCTCTTCTTATGAGGACACCAGTAATATTTCATTACATTCCACCACCTTAATGACCCATTTTAACTTAATTATCACTTTCAAGACCATATCTCCAAATATATTCACATCCAAGATACTGGAGTGGGACTTCAACATGAATTGGGATGGGACACAATTCAACCCATAAGAAGCCCCTTTTAAAAATCAGTGACTATAGGCATATCTTCCTTTGCCCTTTTACTCCCAACATTTCTCTTATTAAGTTTTAGTTTTGTCTTGAGTGCGTGTTTTTGTGTCTGTGAATGTATGTACATGTTTGTGTATATATAATTTTTAAATCAACTTGAGACCCTAGATTTTATTTGGTGAGCAAACAACATTTAAATTTAATGTGATTACAGATGTATTTAAATTTATTGCTACTATATTAATTGTTATCATTGATAAAGTTTTTTCTTTATTTCTTCTTTCCTGGCTTCTTTTGAATTAACCATGTTTTTCTAAATGAAAATCACATGTTTTTATTATTTCAGTCATCACACTTAACTTTTTAAATGCACGCTCAACATAGAATAAAATAATACATATAGAGGGTGGAAAGAAATTTTAGGAGGTGATGGATATGTTTTTGGCATTTATTGTGTTGAAAATTCCACAGGGATTGTACACTTATCTCCAAACGCATCAAGCTGTACACATTAAATAGGTACAGATTTTTGCTTGTCTGTAAGTTATTCAATAACTTAATAAACGTAAGCAAAAATATGAGGACTTCATAATTTTTCAGCTCTGAGTATCTTTCCCATTATTTTATAATCTTTAACTCTTTAGTTTTACTTTGTTTTTTAAAAGTCCGAAATTTAGCTATTATTTTTATATTGTTACATATCTCTAGTATTTTCTATCTCTATCATTGAGTTACAGGAGACATAATTTCTTTATATCTATATCATAGCTTAAAAATTCTCTTAAACATTGTCAAAGTCTTCCATTTACACCAACTGATATTTTATTTTGATCATTATATTTTTATTTTTAGATGTTACATTTGTTTCATTCCAACCCTGTCTCTTTTAAATTTGTTAGATCCTATTTTACTGTATATCTTCTATTTTTCTTTTAAACTCTTTCAGAAAGTTCTATTTTCTCAACTTCTTGGCGTGCTACAATCCTATTTGTGATCCTTGACTAATCTGTAGGATGGACTTTTTTTCATATAGTTTATGATTTCTTTATTGGAACAGGACAAATGTTTGCATTCAATTCTTAGCTTGAGATTTCTGCAACTGAAGGCTACCGTCAAGCTGGACTCTACACTTCCATATGGTACGAGATAAGATCGTCTTCCAACCCAAGCACGAAATAGAGAGTTTACCCGCAGCATCCCTGGGCTGGGCATCATATTTTTCCAGACTCTTTCAGGGAAAGGACAACCTAAAGAAGCAACTTGGTGCTCATGGTCTTGTCCTGGCCCCAGGCCCTGTCTTCGGATCCTAAATGTGTATTTAAAACACCAGCCTGTACGTTGCCCTATTGGACTTGTTTTGCCTTTTTATATATCTTGATTTAGGGTCTTTCTGTTTTAAACTTGGAGATTTGGAAATATTTTCCCCTTGTGTTTAATTATATATTTCATGTTTTGTATCATATTTTATTCAGCTTCTCTAGAAATCTGAATCAGAAATGGATACTTGTTAGCTGAGTTCTCCATGTTGTTAGAAATTTGGGGCATGGGTTTCAAACACAAAACACATCCTTGCAGGCCCTTTGCAATTCTAGTGTCTGGGCATTGTTTTAACACTGGCCACTTGCCCTCTCCACCCTCTCCACTTGCCCTCTCCACCGTTTGTTACTGGGTTCAAACCAGAATGTTCTGCAGATTCATCAACATATATCTGTGTGGGCAGAGCCTGTTCCTCCAGCTCTGCCTCTAAACTCTTCTCTTCATAGTTACTTGTACATCCAGTTTAGATGTTTTACCTTCACAAATTGTTTTCTTTCTTTTGTGGTTTAATAGCATCATATTATCAGTTACATATTCCCCTGCCTTGCCAGCAAATCATATTGTTTTTTTACATGTTTTTCCAAAACTTGGAGTGTCTGATTTTTTTCCACTTTTAGAAGATTCCAAATCTTTAAAAACTCAGGTTTTCTTGTAACTTGACTTAGCCCTCTTTCTCCCAAAATATTGTTATTGCTTCATGTGGGTAAGTTGTATCAGCTTACTTAAGCTTTAATCAACTCATTTATTCTGACATGGTATTTTCTTCTACAATCTGAAAAATTAGAATTTCCTCCAATTCAAAATTCACTATAAATTCTCATTAAGTAAAAGGGCAAACATTCTCATTTTAGCCCATCTTAGTCCTAGACACCCCACTGCACTGTAAGGCCACAGGACTGGCTCTAAGGGCTGGTTCTTAGCACAGCACCACATGCCTTCTACACTGGTCAACTAAACCCATTGGTAGGCAACTCAGTAAAAGTTTTCCTAAGTAATCTTTCCACAAAAAAACAACAAAAAAGGAATGATTTCAATGAATCTTTTTACTTTTTAGGGAAGATAGTTTTGTTCTGTGAAAAATGACATTATGATTAAGTATTAGATTATCATATATTGTACTAAGGTGCATTTTTATAGATCATCAAATATGAAATGTCTGATTTTGAATCAAAAGGGTAGTTTATTATATCTGAAACAAGAAACGTTAATCAAAGCATGTGCCTAAACTATTGACACAGGGCTGCCATCTTAATCATAGTGTGCTTATGCCAGCGGCAAAGAAGCCTGGAGAGCATGTGGCAATGAAATCTTGAAAGGCGTTTTACACAGCTTGCTGAGAATTGAATATTTTTCTTTGCAAGAAGTGGTCCAAAACCTGGAAGAAGTGGTAGTCAGTTGGTGCAAGGTCTGGTGAATACGGTGGGTGACAGAGAGTTTCCGAGTCCACCTTCTGTAGTTCGAACAGTGTTGTACAAGCGACTTGTGGTTGAACACTGTCTTGTGAGAGGATTGGCCTGACTCTGTCGACCAATCTCCACTGCTTAATCACAAACATCCTATCATTTTGTCCAGTTAGTTTCAGTAGACTTCCGCTGTAATCAACTGACCAGGTCTCATGAAGCTGTAGTGGACAGCACCAGCACGGACCACCACACAGACACCATTAGCTTTTTTTGATGAAATTTGGTTTTGGAATTTTGGGAATTTGGTTTCAACACTTCATCTTTATGCAGTAATTGTGCAAAACGCTTGTGATTGTCAAAGAGAATCTATTTTTTATCTCACATAACAATACGGTGTAGAAACGGTTTGCCTTTGTGTCATGACAGCAAAGAAAGGGAAGCCGCAAGACGATTTTTCTTTTGATGTCCGTTTAATCTATGTAGTACCCATCTATCCAGCCTCTTTACTTTGATGATTTGTTTTAAATGGTCTAATATTGTTGGAATAGTAAAGTCAAACTTTGTTGCTAATTTAAGCATAGGTTGAGATGAATTCACTCCCACTACAATTTTTCATTTATCATTATCCACTTTGGTCTCAGGTCGTCCATGTGGCTCATTTTTAAGATTAAAATTACCAGAATGGAACTTTTTAAACCATCAACATACTGTGTCTTCATTAGCTACATCTTTTCTGAATACTGTGTTTATATTTCGAGCTGTCTGTGTTATATTGGATTTATGACGGAACTCATATTTGAAAATAACATGAATTTTTGACTTTTATATGTTTGTACAAAAATCATTCTAAAAAAATGACAGATGATCACAAATCAAAGTGTGCATTTGAAAGAATGAAGATGTACCTTTGCAATAAAAATAAAACAAGAAGTGTCAAAGTGAAATGTCACAGATATTAACTGTCAAACTTAGTAGTTAAGAAAATTGGACATTTCATACTTAAAACGTAATTTTTTTTAAGTAGGTAGTAATTACTTTTCATTAAATGTGATAAATACACATGGAAAAATATGAGTCCATTTATTTTAAAATCTTCAATCGGAGATCCTTTCTTGAGTAAATTTCATTTATTCTAATATTTTAGGATATAGTCATGAACATGAAGTTAAGAGTTTGCTCAAGACTCCTTTAATCAAAATATGGATGATGGCTAGCCAGGTAAATGATGAACGAATAGTTAGTGTATTTCTCTTGCAAAGATATAAGTACAATTAAAAAGTTTTAAATTATGTCTTTTTCATATGCACCAATTCAAAATGCACACCAGTACTTAGGTATAAAGTATATGACAAAATGTAACTATTTAATGTTCATATATAAATATATATATATATATATATATATATATTTCCTTTGAGGTTAAATCATTTTGGTTAATAATTATGTTTGAAGCACTTTGCCTCATTTCTCTTACAAAGTATATTAATAGAAGTTGTGCTTCATAATATTGGGAACTATATATTCTTTTTTGCTAATTTATATTTGAAATGCAGTTTTAAACACTGATTCATTCTAATGCTTAAAACAAAACTCAGCAAATTATCTTACACAGAAGCCAAAAATACAATATATAAAGTTATATTTATGGTACCATTTTTAGAAGCTCTTACATTTAGTGCAGTATCTCTCACTTTGTATATTCATGAGGAACAAATAGGGTTTACATTGTTTTCTACAAACTCTTTCATGCCAATAATTGTTTAGGACACTTAGCTAAATATGGCTTTTAATAATATCTTTCCTAAAACAGAAGATAAGATTTCTGTGTAAGTTATACATGAACTTGATTTAACTTATTAATGAACTGTATTTTATTTGGAAAAAATATATAATGCATAAACATGACATTTGTCATGCAATATTTGTAAAAATTACAGTCCAGTGAATATATCAACTTCACAATTAAACTAAAAACACACACATCCACACACACACAAAAACCTTACCAGAACCCTTAATTTATCCTACCTCTGCTCCCCTAATATGCAGGCCTAAAAATAAACAAGTCAGCATAAAGATTCATTTTTCTTACACAGTTTATTTGCCATAAGTGAATCTTAAAGACGGTCAGATAAATGCTCTATTCTCAACTGCCACTCCAAACAAAACTTTTTTTTAACTTCATGCTACACAGTGCAGTTCATGTGCTGTGTGGCCATTTGTGTGTCGGGGCATAGATAGAAGTTAAAGTGCTCTTGAAAGAAAGGGGGTATTTTCCCACCCTCTCTAACAATCAAACAGCCTGGCTAAAGACCGTTGCTTTTCTCAGCTGACAGAATCAGGTAAAGAGGAACCCAGGAAACCTCCGCCGTATTTGTGTACACCTGCTGTGAATGAGGAGGGCGCTGCATCCGCTATGACCCTCGTGTCCCGGCTCAGAAAAGTATGCCACGAAAGAAACACTGAATTTTATCTCATTTGATTTCCTGGCATAATGTGATATATCAATATGTTGTTAACAAATGCTCATGGATTTTTGATGTTTTAAGGTTATTCAGAATAAACAAAACCACTAAGGAAGAAATATTGTCAAGTGTGGCTTGCGTGTGATATACATAGAAAATGTACATGCACAAAAGCGCGTGCAAACGCACACGCACGTACACACACATACACACAAATCCCCAAACTAAAAACAGCCATTGCATTTGGACTGTAGCAATGGAGGGCAGGCTATGACCTTGAAAAAATTTGAGATTTTTACCATATGCAATATTACTTTAAAAAATAAAAACAATATTAAAAACATAGACAAATAAATGTTACATAATGAAATATACTTAAAAAGTAATTCATATGCTTTAAATTATAATCATATCTATATAGGTGGCTGAATTTTCAAGTTGTCCTGTCAACTGACATGCAGTTTTATAAATCTTCATATGGTCAATCCAGTTCCCTTTTAAAAGATAATTTAATTATGTTATTTTTATATCTGGTTATGTTGCACCACTCAGTCGTATTAACCAGGTGACATCCAAGAGAATGTGGTCAGTGTTTAAGCTACTCGGGAGGCTGAGGCAGGAGGATCGCTTGAGCCCAGGAGTGTGAGGTTGCTGTGAGCTAGGCTGACGCCACGGCACTCTAGCTTGGTCAACAGAGTGAGGAGTGAGACTCTGTCTCAAAAAAAAAAAATAAAAATAAAAAAGTAATGTGAGTCAGCATTCATGTAGGTCTTGCTTGAGCTTCAGTAAGATGAAAAAATGACAAATATAACGAGATTTGTTAGGTTTTGTCTTTCAAAATGTAATATAATTAAAATTGTTATGAATTTTTAAAAGGCCATGAAACCTGAAACCTTAGGGACATATTACAGCTTGTCCTTGTAGACATTTTTAGTAAAAATTATTTTGAATCCTGGAAGGGAGTCACTAACACATTTAAAAGCAATGACATATATTATCCAACTCCAGAAACATCTTTCCTCATGCATAATACTAACACCACAAAATATTTTGTCTAAAACTAATACTGCATTGTACGCAATAACTCAATCTTGCCTGTTTTTAAAAGTTTGTTTTGCGATTGGCAAACAGCAGCGCTACCTCCCTGGGAGCCTGTCTGAGAGCAGGACACTACTTGAAGGCTTTCCTCTAAAGTTTGCCACAACGTGCTCTTTAAAGATCTCCCAACAATTGCAACCAACACCCACATATGGGTGCACATTTTTATATCAAATTTTAAAGGCTCTTACTTAATATTAAGTGAAAATTATCTAACATACTTAAATACTCAATTCTGACTATAAATAAGCCTGTTGCCTATGGGTTTCTGTTTCAAATGCTGTTCAGAAAGTGCCCAAATTAGAAGAATCCCATAGCAAGACCTTTTGTAAAAGTCAGGAACACTTTCAAGTTTTCTGATAGTAGACTCATATTGCTCCTGAATTTCAGACTTGCTCTATTTCAATTTTGACATCTCACGAATGGTAATAATGACAAGGAGGGGAAAGGCAGATATTGAACAGTGCTGCTTTGAAGTCTCTTTCCCTCATAGAGTTTGCGTTTCTCAGCCACATGCCAAACTAACAAGCTCCCTAAAATAATGATATTCCTTCGCTGACTTTTCTCTTATGTCCCAGAATTTAGAGACTAATGAAGGTTAAGATCAGTGCCTTCCCAGCAGAATCTGACACTTGCTTGTAGATCTGAGTGGAGTCAGGTAGGCAGAATCGCATCATAACATGACGAATTTTTCACAGATCTTTCCAGATGTTTTCTCTAAGTGCAAAACTCATTCTCTCAAACTTCCTGTAGATTATGAAATACCTCTGAATTTTGAAATTAGAGATTTTCCATGATATTCACATCTTAAAAAATATTACAATATGTTTTTTTATTTCCATGTATGGTATATAAAACTGATGGTTTACAATAAGAAATATGTCTTAAGTAAAATGATTCCTATGCACTTTATAGCTTTTAGTTTTGAATTATTTCAAGGCATGTTAGAAAATGAAAAGATAAAATGTCTTCAGTATGTCTATGGTTAAATGAACTAACTTGCTCTCAAGTCAGCAGTTTCCGTATCAACGATGTGACTATAGGTTAAAACTGCTCACGTCTTAAGTGTCTCTTTCTGAGAAATTCCCCATTTGGGGCTTACGAGCATGTGACACTTGTTAGCATTTGTCTGGGCTTTCAGCCGGCATTCCTCAGTCTCTGCAAACCGGACAACAGACTTCTTTCACCAATTCAGGACTGGGACATGGAGCCCGGGGGCAAGTCTCCACCACACAGGTGACCTGGCCACTCTGAAAGGCAACATTCAAACATCATACCCATGTTTCTTATAGTAAGATTACTAAAAATATAAGCTTCTTATAATACATAACTGATAGGCTGGCTATCTCAATATAATAAAAATTGCTAATGGTGCGAGCTAATTTTTGCCTGTGATTTCTATTCCTTCTTTCTGCGCATTTGCAGCACGAAGAACAAGGCTGGAGGCGCCACCGCCGTTACTATAAGGCAGGGTGCTCCAGCTGGAAGAGTGCCAGCTTCTAGAGGTTGGGGCAGCGTGGGGGGTCAGTGCTTTTCAAAAAGCAAACTCCATAATAAATACTGTGCATTTTTAGTTTTTCATATTGGTGGGTGCCATGATAACACTCCTTTACATTTCCACAGAATGGCGCAGTTGGTGCCTTCAGGCTACATTTGCAGAGAGCCTGGCTGGAGAACAATGAGATAAACTCAAGTCCCATCTGCCTCAGGTTGCTGGCAAACTTGGGCGAGTGACATACACTTCCTCAGCCCCAGTTCCCGCCTCCCTTAGGGAACAAGTGAAATGCCCGTGGTCTCTGGCAAGCTCGGGCTAAACTGCAGCTATGTTTTTATCAATAATCAGAAACCCTGAAATCTCACACCAGTATCTCGATTTGAAAAATACGCCTAGAATCTATTCACAAAAAGGATATTTTTTCTCTCTTTGGAGTTTTTGGCATGTTTCCGCTGGCTAGCGCGGGGAGACTCCAGCGCGGACCTCGCAGACAGCTGACGCAGTCTCCTTTCATCCAGCGCTGGCGGCCTCCCTTTGAATCCCTGTCGTCTGCCAGCCCGCCCGCCTCAGGCGGCCTCCAGCTTGCCACCTGCACGCGGAGGGCGGGAGGGGGAGGGGGAACGGGGTGGGTAGCAGCAAAGCCCTGTCCTGCAAGCACCCATCTAGACGGCAAGTAAACTTCACAGCCTACATAATTTTCCTAAGCACTTTCCCCCAAAACGTAATGAATTTGAGTCATCCAGGATCTAAACTAATAAACAGTTCCCTATGTGTAGAAAAACATTGTATGTGGACCTAGTACCTGAAACAATTAATTTCTAAATGAAGTTGAATTAAAATCAAATCAGTGAAATTACATATTTGGAATATCTTCTCCATAAACATAAATGCTAATTCAACTAATCAATGTTTCATTTATTTGTTTGTCATCTAAGTTGTCACAAACAACAAAACATCTTCCCCATGTTTAGAAACATTTATCAAGTTTCAAAGATGAGAGCAAGCCACGCAGGGCTCAAGGGCTTGCAATTTGATAGAAGGCCAGGCCAACACTGCAGCCATAAGCCAATTAGGGGACACAGACTTGTGGGAAGTGCAGCGGCAGGGCAGCCATGCCCACTGCTGCCTCAGGGAATGAGGGGAGGCCTTCTGCTATGGACTGAGCTGTGTTCCCCCAAAAATACTCATAAGCTGAAGCCCTAACCCCCAATGTGATTGCATTCTAAAACAGGGCCTCTAGGGCAGTGATTTGGGTTAAATGAGGTCACAAGGGTGGGACTCTAATCCAATAGCACCTGTGTCCTCATAAAAAGAGGAAGAGACACCAGTTGCGCTCACGGAGGAACGGCCATGTGCAGGCACAGGGAGAAAGCGCCACCTGCAAGCCCAGGAGACAGGCCGCAGAAGCAGCCGTCCCTGCCAGCACCTTGATCTTGGACTTCCAGGCTCCAGAACAGTGAGGAAATAAATGTCTTATGTAAGCCACTAATTCTGTGGCATCTTATCATGTGCCTGAACAGACTAACGCACCTTCCGTGGGAAAAAGCATTTGGGTGGTGAAGGATGACTCAGTCTTTCAGGAGAACAAGCAGGGAAAAGGCATTTCAGGAAGATGGGAAAACAGACGTGCCAAGGCATGGGGCCCACAGGCAGGTCCAGTTTACAGGACTGTAGGCTGCTTTGTGGGAGAGGGCACGCGGATGGTGGGAACTGAGGCTGATGAGTGGGCAGCAAAGAAAACCAGTACTTTAAACATCATGTAAATTAACTGAGTACAGTCTCCAGGCAAGGGAAAATGACACGACGATCACTACAGTAGCAATACGCAGCACCCATGGGAGAGATTCTGTAAGATGCTGGGCTATTAGATTAGTGGTTGCTTTTAGCCATTGGTTGCTGCTTGGTTGCTAACCACAAGGGCATATGAGAGTGCATTATGGGATGCAGAGGAGAAAAACAAAGAATGCAGAAAGAGGAGTCTCTCAGCTAGGACCCGGAACAGGTTGGAGCCTATCAGGGGCAGGATGAAGTAAGAATCACTGTGGGGGCAGATGCATGATCAGCATGTAAACACTTAGGTATAAAAGGGTCACTAGCACACTGGGGGGGGGGTGTCCCTGTCCAGAGAAGAGGCCACTGTGCTGGCACTCTGGGGGCTCGGACCCTAGCTTGAGCTAGACAATAAAACTCCTTTTGACAGTTACAGCCTCGGTGACTCTGTCTCTCTGTCCCACAGCCCTGTAGATCTCGGCTCTAACAATGTTAAATAAAAGTTTTAAGAAAGGCCCACGTGCTGGGGAAGAATTTGCCAGCATGCAGTTCTAAGTCCCGCCCACTCCAGCTTCCCGACTCACAGTGGGGAATGCCCACGTGGAAACCGGACGGATGCCCCCAAACCCGGGGACGCCCCGCGGGAAGGGAGCGAAGGGCGGGAAAGACCCGCGCTGGCGCTGCGCGGCCACAGCCGACACAGCCCACTGGAGACCAGGAATACCCGGCCCACACCCAGCCAGAAAGATCCGGCACAGTAACGGCAGGTGACAGCTGAGGCAGCGGAGCGACAAGGCCTTCTCTGAAGAGGAGCACGGGAGGGCGGAAGCCAGGAGGGGAAACAAAGCAAAGATGCCAGCTCAGGAATGCAAAGCTGTGGCCCTACAGCTACAGGACACATTAAACACAGCACAGCATTTAGTGTTTTCAGTGTAAAAACCTAAAGCAAAGGCTTATTTACTGCAGTTCCTATTTCCCAAGACATCATGTCTGGCTTTAAACAAAATTTATAAGGCCTGATCAAAGGAAAGAAAGAAAAAATCACAGTCATAAGACGCAAAGGAAACATCAGAAGCAGACTCAGATGTGATGCAGATGTTGGAATTATCAGGCAGGGATTTTAAAATAATTATGATTAATATGTTCAGAGCTCTAGTGGAAAAAGGAGGCAACATGCAGGAGAAGATTGGTAACATAAGCAGAGAAATGGAAATACTGAAAACCAATTAAAAGAAAATGCTAGAAATCAAAAACACTGTAACAGAAAGGAAGAGTGCCTTGGTGGCTTGGTCAATAGACTTAGTGTCTACCAGTCAAGGCTCTGCAGGGAAACGGAACCAACAGGACAGACATGTCGACAGGTTGATTATAAGGAATTGGCTCACACGACCACGGAGGCCGAGAAGCATCGCAATGTGCAAGCTGCAAGCTGGAGACCCGGGAAAGTCCATGATGCTTCCCAGGCCTGAGAGCCAGGAGTGCCGAGGGCAGATCAGCGTCCCACCTCAGAGTCCCACCGGGCATAGTCCACTCTGCCTTTCTCCACCCGTTTGCTCCATTCGGGCCCTGAGCAGGTGCTACAAGGCTGGGGAGAGCCCCTGGCTCCCCTGGTGCACAATTCACACGCTCATCTCTTCAGGCACCAGCCTCCCAGACACGCCCAGAAACGACGTTTCACCAGATGGCTGGGCATCCTGTGATCCAGAAGTTCTCACCTAAAATTAGCTGTCACACTCAAGATGGCAAAGGAAAGAATCAGTTAACCTGCAGATATATTAATAGTAACTCCCCAAACTAAATGCAAAGAGAAAAATAAGAATTGGAGACTAACAGAAAAATCTAAGCACTGCAAGACAATATAAAACCTTTGGCTATTCAGGGTCTCTTGCAAATCCATATGGATTTTGGATTGGCTTTTCCATTTCTAAAAAAGAAAGTATTGGGTTTTTAGAGCTACCATAACAAAATACCACAGACTGGGTAGCTTACACAGCAGAAATTTATTTTCTCATAGTTCTGGAAAAAGTTCAAAATCAAGGTGCCAGCAGGGTTGCTTTCTTCTGGTGCCTCTCTCATGGCTTGCAGATGGCCAGGAAATACATTCACATCACGGGCACTGAGGACTAAGACTTCACATGTGAATTTGAGGGGTGGACACATTAACAGTCCATAACATCCCATTTTCTGCACCCCCAAATTCATGTCTTTCTCACATGCAAAATAATTCAATCCACCCTATCCCAACAGCCCCCAAAGTCTTAACCCATTCATTCCAACATCAATTCTAACTCCCAATATCATTTAAATAGCATCAAAACAAATTATAGGTGAGACTGGACCTATGATTGATCCTGATAGAAAATTCCTTACAAGCTGCGAACCTGTGAAACCAGACAAGTTACCCACTTCCAGAACACAATACGTAGATGCTCCCATTCCAAAGGAGAAATGGGAAGCAAGAATGAATCTTGGGTCCCAAGCAAGCTCACAACTTAGCAAGACAAATTCCATTAGATTTTGATGTTTGAGAAAATCGACTTTAGCTCTATTCCGAACTGCAGGCCCAGAGGCAGCAGCCCCCACTTTTGGGCCCCTAGATGACTTCACCTTAGTCTTGGGTGGTGGCACCACCCCTGGGTCCACAAGTGGCAGTCCCACCGCCATGACCCCAAGCGCAGCAGCCTGCCTCTGACTCCAAGGAGGAGACAGCCTCGGCCTCCAGGGCGGTGCCCTCTGGGCACGTGGCAGCGTGGCAGAGTCATTCTTTCCTTTCCATGGAGGCTCACACACGTTTGCAGCTGCAGAGCTCTATTGTCCTGTCATGAAGAACCCCCCAAATCCAGTCTTCCTTCATTTTGTCCCATCTCTGTCCTTGCAGTCCAAGCTGGCAGTGTCTGCTGACATAACCCCATCCCCATTCCTGGCTTCTGCTGAGACGTCTGGTTAGACCCATGAGCTGGACTCATAATCTCTTTATGAAATGATTTTCCAGCCGCACCCTTGGTGTTCTCTCCACAACACATGTTGTATTTTTTTCTGATATGTATAGGCTGAGAATATTCCAAATATTCAATTTTGGGATCCTTTTTGCTTAACAATTCCTTCTTCAACTTCACATCTTACCATAAGGAACAAGGAGACACTGGGCTGCACTTTTAACTCTTTGCTTAGAATTCACCTTGGCTAAATGTCCACACTGGTCTCTCATAAGATCTACCTTCCACGCAACACTAGAGCACAATTCGGCCAAGTTCTTTGCCCTTTTATGCCCACTGTTTTTCCAACAGTGTCCAATGACATATTCCTCATTTCCATCTGAGACTTCTCCAGAATCACCTTTAACAGCAATATTGCTATCAATGATCTCTTTAAGGCCATATAGACTTTCTGTAACTCACACCTCAAGACTCTTCTAGCCTCTACTCATCACCAAGTTGCAAAGACACTTCCGTGTTTTTAGGTATATGGTAAAGCACCCCCCCACTTCATGGTACCAACTCTGTATTAGCTTGTTAGAAATGTTGTAGCAAATATCACAGACGGGGTGGCTTGAACAACAGACATTTATTTTCTCACAGTTTTGGAGGCTGGAAGTCCAAGACCAAGGTGCCAGCAGGGTGGTTTCTCCTGAGGCCCCTCCTCGGCTCGCGGGCGGACGGCTGTCTTCTCGCTGCGTCCTCGCGCGCCTTTCCTCTGTGCAGGCACGTCCCGTCTCCCCCTCTTCCTGTGAGAGCACCAGTCCTACTGGAGCAGGCCACACCTTAATGTGCCCTAATGCCGAATGTGTCCCAATGCCTCGCTTTAACTTAGTAACCGCTTTAAAGGCTCTATTTCCAAATATAGTCACATTCTGAAGTAATGGAAGTTGGGCCTTCAACCTGAATTTTGAAGGGACACAATTCGGGATTATTTGGGAAGTATTGCCATCTTAACTTAAGACTTAATATTAAGTCTTCTAATCAATTAATATGGGATGTCTTTCCATTGATTTAGGTCTTTTTAAATTGCGTTTAATAATCCATGGTTTTCAGAGTTAAATAATTTTACTTCTTTTGTTAATTTTATTCCAGAGTATTTTATTCTTTTTGATGCTATTGTAAATGAAATGTTATTGTTGTTTGGTTTTTTTTTTTGAGTCAGAGTCTCACTCTGTTGCCCAGGCTAGAGTGCTATGGTGTCAGCCTAGCTCACAACAACCTCAAACTCCTGGGCTCAAGCAATCCTTTTGCCTCAGCCTCCCGAGTAGCTGTGACCACAGACATGCACCACCACACCCAGCTAATTTTTTCTATATATTTTTAGTTATCCAGCTAATTTCTTTCTATTTTTAGAAAGAGATGGGGGGCTCACTCTTGCTCAGGCTGTTCTCAAACTCCTGACCTTGAGCCATCCTCCCGCCTTGGCCTCCTAGAGTGCTAGGATTACAGGCGTGAGCCACCAAGCCTGGCCAAATGGAATGGTTTTATTAATTTCATTTTTAAATTGTTTATACCAAGTGTATAACAATATAGTTAACTTAGGCATATTAATCTTGTATTCTGTAACATTAAAGAACTGTTTATTTGTTCTAATAAATGATTAGAATAATATTTACATAAACTATTAAATACAAACACTTTTAGTAGATTCTTTAGGATTTTTCTATATAAAATATCATGTCAACTGTGGCTGGAGATAATTTTACTTCTTTCTTTCTAATTTTGATGCCTTTTATTTACCTTTCTTGCCAACTGCCATGACTAAAACCTGCAGTACAATGTTAAATAGACGCTTCAAGAACAGACATCTTTGATCCTGATCTCCAAAGAAAAGCATCCAGTCTTTCATCATTAAATATAATGTTAGCTCTAGGTTTCTTTTGGTGCCCTGTATCAAGTTGAGAGAGATCTCTTCTATTCTTTGTGTTTATAATGAAAAGGTATTGGATTTTTCCAAATGCTTTTCCTTACTATATTAAGATAATCATTGTGTTTTGTCTTTTATTATCTTGCTATTGCATTAATTGATTTCAGAGATGTTAAATCAACCTTGCATTCCTGGGATAAACCCTACTTGGCCATGATATATAACCCTTTCTTTATATATGTTGCTAGATTCACCCTGCTAGTACTTTGCTGAAGAATTTTGCATCTGTATTTGAAAGAGGCATTAGCATGTTGCTTTCTTGTGATATTTTTGTCCAGTTTTGATATCTGTGTAATACTAGCCTCATAAAATGAGTTGAAAACAGTTTGCTCCTCTTGTATTTTTTGGAAGACTTTGTAAAGAACTTACATTAATTCTTCTTTAAATGTTTGGTAGAATTCATATATGAAGTCATCTGGGCCTGGGCTTCTCTTTGTGAAAAGTTTTCTTTTTTCTTTTATTACTAACTCGATCTTTTTGTATGTCTATTATTGTTTTCTATTGCTTCTTATTATTGTTTTAGTGTTTGTGTGTTTGCAGGAATATATCTATTTCATCTAAGTTATCTAATTTGTTGGGACACAGTTTGTCATAGTGTCCCCTTAAAATCCTTTTTATTGCTGTTATGTCAGTAGTGACATTCCCTCTTTCATTCCTAATACTTTGAATCTTTTTTTTTGTTTTTTTTTGGCCAGCCTACCTAAAATTTTTTTTGTTCTGCCAATTTTATCTATTGTTTCTGTTCTCAGCGTCATTCCTATTCACTCTACTCTTCATTATTTACTTACTTCTGTTTGCTTTTAGTTTAATTTGCTTTTCTTAAGTTTCTTAAGATGGAAAGGTAGGTTATTGATTTGATATTTTTTTCCTTTTCTTATAGGTGTTTTCAGCTATAAATTTCCCTCTAAACAATATGTTAGCTACATCCTATGTGTTTTTGTATGTTTGGGTTCATTTTTATTCATCTCAAAGTATATTATAGTTTTCCTTGTGACTTCTTTTTCAACCCACATGTTAATTTCCATGTATTTTTTAATTTCCAAAATTCCTTTCTGTTACTTACATCTAATTTAATTCCATGGTGTTCGGAGACATGCTGTGTATACTTTCCTTTTTCTTACCACTGTCTTCTCTCACCAACAACAGGTAGCCTACAAAGGCCAAAGGGAGGAAAAGAAACTGGACTGTAGCTGATGTCTGATTTAGTGCCAGCCACATCTAAGCCTCATTCCCCACGCACGTCTGCCCCATCCCGCAACGTCCTGACAAATCTCACCGTGAGCCCCACAAGCACAGGTGACCTCCTGCTGCCTCTTTCAAATCTTGGTGATGCTTCCCCTTTATAAAACAACCGTGCCCTCGCTGTTCCCTCTCTCTGCCCCTGTCTTTCTTCCAGAGAGCCATGCTGCCCGCCCTCACCTCAGGACTTCCCCCGAGGGAGTGTCACATCTCCCTCTGCCCGTACCAGAGGGCGTGCGCATCGGCTTCCACGTAAGAGCTTCGCCCTGGCCAGGAGCTTCTCCACATCAAGATGGAGTTGCCGGAACACACTCAATAAGCAAACCTGGACCATGCCACTTCACAGCTCTCTCTCCAAAAAGTGTCCATTGTTCTTCTTTTCTAAGATCATCGCCATTGCCTGTCACCATAATCTCACTCCTAGATGACAACGGCAGAACACTTGACAATGCCACATTTGTAATCCTTTGTTCAATTCTCACACAATACCCATATTGAATTCTTTAAATCCAAAGGCATTCCTGTTCCCAAACCCCGCTAACAGCTTCCTCATACGCTTAGGGTCCGGGAAAAGGCTCTTCTTAACCACACGCTTTCTGTCTCACCAGACTCATCTCACGCATGTTCTGCCAGTCTTGATGACCTACTCCTCACCCACACCGGACATCACTGTGTTTTTCATATGTGCCATTACCTCTTTAACTCTACTGTTTCACCTATAATTGTTATTTTAGTAATAGCATTACCTGTCTCTTAATTTTAAAAAAGCCTCTAGAGTATCTTCGATTCATCTACTTGTTTAGTAAAGTGATGGGGAAAAAAAAGTGATGGGACTGGATTTTCTAGATCAGTTCTAATTCCTGCCTTTTTTCAAGGCATAATTATGAATTTTGGATTGACAAATTATAGTGGTCAACCTATTGATCTCCATATCTGTTTATTTGTTTTAACTAATTGACATTCAGAACAAGAACTTTGTGACCACAAAGTATCCTTCCAGCCTCATGTCCTATCTTCCCAACACCCAACTGATTACTAAGTCACAGTGAACCACAGGATCTTCCCTAAATGTGGGATCTGGCTTGTCTGTTACCACCTGTCACCATCAGCATCCTCTTCCACAGATCTCAGAAAATTGTTCCTCGGCCTATTTCCCTTTGTGGTTCTGGGTCAGAATCCGCCAACAAGAGGCACTCAGGTCAGATTTAGAAGGAGGAGGCATTATCCTGAAGTGCAGTTGTCAGCAGATGCGTAAACAAGGGCCGAGCTTGGGGCTCCTACTAAGATCGCTGAGATCTGCGTGGCTTCCTGCTGGGATTCTGTGGATCCAGCAGCTTCTAGCAGTGTTTCTATGACCCCTGTTCCTCTCTCGCTGTTCCAACAGGTGTGAAAATTTCTGGCTTCTTGCATGAAAACCCACCCTACTTGGAATACCTAAAGTATAATAAATGCATGCAAATAGTTTAGTCATACCTGTGAAGAACCACATGAAGAGTTTGACTATAAGTGAAAATGCTTACATTCATTGTTCATTATATACCCTCCTCACACACATGCCCCCTCTCTCCACAGTCAGAAAAATTAAAAAGTAAAATCTCAAACTGAAATGATGAAATGTTTTGGGTGAAATTATGGATCTAGTGATCTCCACCATGACCAGAATCAAATTAAAAAGGCAAATATAATTTACTTGAACACACCATGGAAATTTGCAGACTACTTTTGTTAGTTTGATGCTATCATAGTTAAGGGACCAAGATCAAAAATTATCATTCCTAGACATTCTGAAGTCACTTAACAAAAGTATACCATCAATAATGTGAAATGTCAAGACTGACCCTATTTTGAAGCTCCTTAAATGTAATTCCACTTACAATTAGGAATCACAGGTGAGACTCCTTGGCTGAAGGTTGGGATTCTCTGGCATCTAAGGGATGGCCTCAAGAGCAGTGATGATCTCCGAAGTGACGAGTGTCACCGTGAGATACAGTTTCTCTTAAACATTCTGTGTCCTCTTTAGCCCATTTCTTTCCTGTCTAATTTCACCACCAGAAATACATACTGTCTTTGTTGCTATACTCATTTTTCACACATCAAAGGGTTTTGTATAACACAATTCCTCACGGGACTCGCTGCACCCACACTGAGGAGCCACGGAAACCACAGCGCCGCAGCGAACCCTCCCCAGCGAGCAGCCCCGCACAGCCTGCCCCGCACGGCCCGCCCAGCAGGGCCCGCCCCGCGCAGCCCGCACAGCCCGCCCGGCACAGTCCGCCCCCGCGCAGCCCGCCCCGCGCGGCCCACCCCGCACAGCCCAGCCCCGCACAAACCGCCCCGCACAACCCGCCCCGCGCGGCCCACCCCGCACGGCCCAGCCCCGCACAAACCGCCCCGCACAACCCGCCCCGCGCCTTGCGCGTCGAGGCTCCTGTCTTGGTGCCGCAAACGCTGACTTCACAAATCCTCAGGACTTGTCATGTCCAAAAAGGTGCTTTGCCCCCGGGAAGTCTGCCTCCCTGGTCCCCGCCACCTCGAGCGCTCCCCCTCTCGCACGCGCGCCCGGCAGCCGGGAAGTCTGCCGCTCGGCTCTGCCTGCGCTCTCGGGTCTTTGTTTTTCTCAGTCCCGTTAGATGATCTGGGTTGATTTCTGGCTTCAGTCAATACCCTTCATTGCCAGTGCTATGCCACGTTAATGTACTCATCTAAGTCGTATCTGTCGGGCGTTTGCTGCCTGTCACTCAGCGTGCACGCGACACCAGGCGCCGCCGCGCCCTCCCCACCTGTGCGCCAGCGGCGGGTCAGGCGAGGCCGCGTCCTCCCCACCTGTGCGCCGGCGGCGGGTCAGGCGAGGCCGCGTCCCTCCCCACCTGTGCGCCGGCGGCGGGTCAGGCGAGGCCTCGTCCTCCCCACCTGTGCGCCGGCGGCGGGTCAGGCGAGGCCGCGTCCTCCCCACCTGTGCGCCGGCGGCGGGTCAGGCGAGGCCGCGTCCTCCCCACCTGTGCGCCGGCGGGGTCAGGCGAGGCCGCGTCCTCCCCACCTGTGCGCCGGCGGGGTCAGGCGAGGCCGCGCCCTCCCCACCTGTGCGCCGGCGGGGTCAGGCGAGGCCGTGTCCTCCCCACCTGTGCGCCGGCGGGGTCACGCGAGGCCGCGTCCTCCCCACCTGTGCGCCGGCGGGGTCACGCGAGGCCGCGTCCTCCCCACCTGTGCGCCGGCGGGGTCAGGCGAGGCCGCGTCCTGAGAGCCCGCAGGGCCTCTGGCTTCCTGGGCAGCCTTGCCGGGCGGTCACGCCACTTAGAGTCCTGAAGATCTAGAGTTAAACTTTCTTGTTCCAACACAAAGAAACTGTTTTAAACATGACCTATGACCTATGTATTTCACTGAAGATTCCCCAGTGAAATACTTTCAGCTATTAAGAAATTTACAATGGAATGGAAGAAACAAGCAAACAGGCAAAGACACTCTTTCTTGATACATTTAGAGATATGTTCTAATTCGTAATGTTTTTGGACACCTAGAAGGGGCACTGAGTGCCACCTTGGGGACTTTGGGATGCCTTTAATCATCACAGCACACATCAGAGATAAAATTATCACTACCAATACGTAGACCGAACTGGACTGAAATGCTGCTGTGGATTCTACCTGTGTCTGCAAATCAGTAAAATAAAGTCACTAAAAAGAGTTTGCTGCATGAGGGTTGGGCACTGTGTAAGTTGTGGGGCCACCCTGCCCGGCCTGGTGCCCGGCGTCCTCCCGGCTGTGACAACTTCTCTCTGACACAGCATCCATCACACTGTGAATGAAATACGGTTTCCAGACTCCGTGAGCCCAAAGGCCTAGGTCACCCCACTCACTCTGTGATGTTTAAGGGTGATCTTCCTAGAAGCAATGCCTCACACCTTTCAGGTTCATGTTCACATTCAGAGTGGACAAGCGATTCCACCCATGGGAAGTTCGTGCCAAGGGAAGCGCTGATGTGCAGCGCGCTGACTAGGACCCTGGCTGCGCCAGCCTGGCCACATGGAGACAGCCGTTTGGGGCGACGGTCAGCGACTGCACACTCCACCGGACACTCGATGCACCCACATCCAAAATGGGCAGTCACGTTTCGAGGGGTCACAATCGACAAAGTTCTTCTGCTATGTACTCTCATTTGATCTGCAGGATGGCCCTGAACGTTGGATGCGGTCAGATGCTCAAATGATTACATCAATGGCCTGGGTCAGACAATTCGTGAGGGCAGGACTTCCCAACGCAGACCCTGGCGTCCCACCGTCAAGGCCATGGGTATAAAGAAAAGCGTGTGCCACATGCAACGTTATTGTCTAGGGAGCAGATAGCTTGGCACTGTGCCTTGAAATAAATCAGACTTCCATTTCTGAATAAAAACATCTGTGTTGCCATTTGTGATGCAAGCCTTTTCCCTCTTATGGACTTATTCCCAAATTTTAGGAAAAATTAAACAAGACATGAGCCAGAACAAGTGGGAAGACAAGCAAAACTGTAGAGGAGTATAAGAATTTTGTTTTTAATGGCAACTTTTTCAGAAAAAGGAAGCCAGAGAAAACAGTAATCCCTAAGAAGCTTCTTTGATTCCATTCCAAGAAAATTGTTAAGAAGAGTATGTGTTATGCCTGTTGAAAATTATCTACATCTGTAGAGATGAAGAGGGCACCGGAACACAATTACTCAGAAATGCGCTGGCTGGTGTAGAACTCAAGCACCCTGACAAGGGCCTGGGCACCGGAGCTGGGGTGCCTTGCAGCCGTTGGCACCAGGTGGAAAGGGTGAGGTGACCTGCATCTTTGTGGCGTGAGTTTCCCAGCCCTCCTTCTTCCAACTCAACTCTTGTTACGATGCAACTCCCTGTACTTGTGGTTATCATTTTGGTATTGTGCTGTAACTTTGGAGAGTTCTCGAACAGATCTTTTAAGTTTAATTATTCCAATCTATACAATAAGGACGTGTTACTTGGGGTGAAAACAAACCTGCTTTCTTAGTGCTGTGATGGTTTTTTGAATTCCCACTGCAAAACTGCTGAAATCTTGAGCAAACTTTGTTTTTGCCAGAAGTGTCACATTTCTAGCATCTTCACCCACGTACAAGTTATCTTCTTGCCGGTTTACACAAGAAGCACATAAAATGCTGAAAAATAAAAGTTGCCTGAGAATTTTTAAAAATCATCTAATATTCTTCAGGCATTTGGAATATACAAGGTATTGTGATTGGTGCTCTGTGTTCATAAAAAGAAAAAGATATGACTGGAACTAGAAATTAAAATTAAATTGCATAGGAGATGATAATCCAGTGTCACATCTGCTTCATGTGATTTATCTAAAATGATAAGGAAGTATTGCTCAGGAAATAAAGGCACTGTCATGTTATATTACATATATATTGGACATGTTATTTAGATCTCAAAGTATGTCTTTTGCTAATGACTTGTTCACTTTACTTTAAACAGTAAAAGAGCAGTGAAAAATTAAATATTACATATTTTGCAGTACCCAGGTGGGAAAGCTGCTTGCTCTTTTTTACAATTTTTTTGTTACAAATTCATGGCAAGAACTGAAGTAAGATAAGGATACTGTGCCTGACAAAAGTCTAATCTTAAACCTGATGCAAAATAGCTCAATCCTATTGATAATAGAAGGAAATAAAAAAGTCTTGGGTTGAATTTAAGATATGTTTCTTAGAGCTTAACTGAAGTTCTCAGAAAACAGAAGCAGATAACTAGTTTGTGAAATAGAAATGAAAGTTCCATCTATTATTATGATGTATTGTTAAAATATTTTTATATAGATGTTATTTAGTGGGCATAATATCTGTGTCTGAAGTTTTCAATTTTTCCAAATTTTGTTAAAAGTTATTCTTTGTGAAGAAGCCATTGTAACTTTCAAAATTGTTCTGCTTCATTCTATTTAAAATATGTCTTCTATTGTTTAATAAGAAAATGGCTTGCCAGAAACAGTACATCCAGTGAGCTTATAAAAAAAATTCTAAATCAGAGACGTGTGATAGAGCTTACATCAGTCAGGGACTTCAGAAAAGGAAAACACGGAAAAAGAACAGAAGTCACAACCACAGGACCTTAGTCACTAGAGAACTCTGTGTCCCCTAAGAGGCTGTGAACAGGAGGCACCATGAATGGCCAGTGATCACATGCCTTTTTTTACTATAGTGCTTAGCTAAAATTAATGCAAGTGTACAAGTGTTGATAGGAATAATGTTAGTAAAAACAATCTCAGGCTTTTATCTGCATGGTGCTTTCTCCTGTAAATTCGCAATGTCTAATCAAAGGGGATATAATCGCAAAGAAGTCTGAGTCAACACACAAAAATAGAACCAGGAGTCACAATACCAAATGTGGGCACGTGGGGAGTGGTTGATGTTGGCAAGACCAGAAGTTGTAGACGGCATCTGCAATTTAACAAGCGTGCGGCACGTGCGGGACATGACGGTGTGGCCATCAGGCTTCTCGCTTTCTCTTAGGAAAGACGGGTTGATAAACAAGCAGAAAATATAACATTTGTATTAGGAAGACAAATAAGAAGTGCAATGTTGTATTGAAAGGCAACAATACTGCATTTATTGTGGTGTAATTGATATATAAAAATTGCACATAATTAACGTGTATATTTTGAAGAGCTAGGACACATACATACACCTGTGATTCTACGAGCAAGGTATTAAACGTATTCACCCCCTCCAAAAATTTCCTGTCTGGTCTTGCCAACATCAACCACTCCCCATGTGTTCCTTCATGTGCTCCTGTGGTTTGTTTTTTGTTTTTGTTTTTGTGATAAGAATACTTAACATGAGATCTGTCCTCTTAACCTATTTTAAAGTGTACAAGACCACATCGTTAGCTATAGGCACTATGTTGTGCAGCAGATATTTAGAACTTATTCATCTTGCATAACTGAAACTTTTTACCTATTGGGCACCAATTCTCCATTTCTTCCCTAACCCCTCTAATCCCTGAAAACCACCATTCTATTCACTGCTTCAATAAGTTTGAGTATTGTAGATACCTCATAGAAGTAGAATCATGCAATATGTGTCCTTTTGCGACTAGCTTATTTTTCTTAGCATAAGGCCCTCTAGAACCACAATGGCTCACACCTGTTACCTCACACCTGTTAGAATGGCTGTTACCAAGAAAACACAAGATCAGTGTTAGTGAAGATTATAAGCTGTTGGTGGGAATGTAGAATAGTGCAGTCACTGTGTAAAGCAGTAGGAAGGTTCCTCAAAAAATTAAAATAAGAATTATCTTTTGATCTAGCAATCCCACTTCTGGGTATATACCCAAAAGAATTGAAATCAAGATCTCAGAGAGATACCTGCACCCATGTCTTAACTACAATATTCACAGCCACAATAGAGAAACAACCTAAGTGGCCGTCAACGTATGAGTGGATAAACAATACTGTATTGTACACTTAAAATATGTGAAGAGGGTATAATCTCATGTTAAGTGTTCTTATCACAATAAATGTATGAAGTAAAATAAATAAAATATATCAAAAATATGATTTTTTTTCCATAAAAACTACTATATGTTATTTTAGAAGATTTGTAAAATACAGTAAAGTATAAGAAAAAAGTTACCTGTACTCAATAAAAAATGGGGGCATTACTTATATTTATAACAATAAACTCAACATTATTACTGATATTTTTAGTTTGTTCTTTTATTTAAAAATAACAAGTAATAGTTGTTTCATTAGTATAGGTAAAACATCTTAATTTAGAAAAAATGTAAATATAAAAGTGTATAAGAAAAAACCTAAATTCATCAAAAAAATTGATTCTTTTATCTTAAAAACTTTGTTTTGTTTAATTTCTGATTGGAAAAAAATTTAGAAAATACTGAAAATTACATAACATGAATAAAATCCTTGATATTCTCAAAATAAGTAAATAAAAGTGACTGAATAAGAAGGTGATGCCTCTGCCTGGGGGCGGGGGATGAGCCAGGGAAGGCATGCAAGGGAGTCCCAGTTCTTTACGCATTTCAGGCCCAGGGAGGCAGTGCCTGCCCTGCACCAAGCCAGAGTCTGGGTGCTGTGAGACAGCGCAGCCTGTGTTTCAGGTGAGAATGCAGCAGCTTAGGAAGTTGTTAACATGCTGTGGTGTATCGCTGTTAAATTGCACAGCTGGGGTGCAAACTGGGGCTTAAAACAAGAGAAAAGTCCTTGCTCTTAACCACTATGCAGACTTTTCCATACATGGAGTGCTGTGTGTCACTTTAAGTATGATCAGATTTATGTTTTGGACAATGCGGGCAGAGAGAAGAGATGCCAGGTAGGGAGGTAATTGCGAAAAATGAGAGGAAAAAAGAAAACCAAACAACCACCGACGCAGTAGATGTTACCATATTTCAAATTCTTATTGAACAAAACTCAGCATATTGCTTGAAAGAGAAGACAATAATATTTAATAAGTTAAACCGATTTTAATTCTGGAATAGTGTATTGAAAGGGAGGTTCAATTTGTGACCAAGATGGAAAGTAGAGAGAGAGAAGAGAGAGTAAATGCAAGAAAGATGGGCAGGCAGAGAAACAAAGGGTGAAATCACAGCCTCAGCAATTTGTGCCTGTCAGTGGAGGGATTGGACGCCCTCTGGTCTACACAACTATGGTACTTTTAAGCACAACAGAACCATCTACAGAGGCTCACTAAAGCGTGTGCAGTTACAGGACAAAGCAAAGCTCTTATTATCTCTTTATTGTCAGATCAATGATAAACTGAACTCACGGTTGCAAGGTTTGTGTTTGAGCAAATATTTAATCAGGTCAGCAGGGGCTAAAAATGAGACAACAAATCTTTAGCTGAGCACTGAGGCAACGTGTGGGCAGAACTTCAGCGAGGCCACCCAGAGTCTTAAGAGTTAATATAATCATATAAATTAATTTTATCTCAAAACAAGCAAAATGAATCTTTGCGGTAGGACCTGGATGTGGCTACAGAACAGGACGGAAGGCAGGAAGGGTGTTGTTACCCACAGCACGTGCCTGTGGGCACCCCTGCAAGAGCCAGGCCCCACTACCATCTTACAGGCAGGGAAACTGCCCTCCGATAGGAAGCATCCACCCATTTCTGATGACACACTGATGAAACACCTCACCTGTTAGACTCAATTAAGAAATGAATGAAATGCCAAGTGAGTGTTTTCCTTCACTGGAATATTTAAAGACGGTTCTGACTGGGGCTCCCACCCGGGGTCAGTGTCCTAATGACCATGCAGGAAGCAGCTCCGGGAACACATGGAATACATTTAACTTCTTTAGCCTAGAAGGTAAAGTTCTTCATTCTTTGCCGTAACCTTCTTTGATTGAGCATTCTAGTTACTGAACACACCAACTCATTTGGACACGGGAGCCTTTCTGTTCCCCAAACACGCCTTACTTTCTTTGTTCCAAGACTGTGCTCATGTTGTTCGTTCAGACTAGGACTCCCTTAAACTCCGTCAGAATCTCAGCGGCCTACCCTGCAAGCCATCTCCTCCATGTGGCCTGCTTAAGGCCCAGAAAGAATCACCCCTTGTTCTCTGCACTACTCACCACGCTGACTGGATTTCATGTCGGTACTTATGTGAGTACTTTTGTTAAATGAGTTAATGTTTACTTAATGTTCAAAGAATGTCTGGCATGCAGGGAGCACGGTAACAGCACATGCTATCATTCTGTGTTCCGTGAAATGCCTCTAAGATGCTAGGTACCGCATTAGTATGAGGTGTTTTACATATATATTCACAAGTTAACACAATAATCTTGTAAGGCAGGTATTACACGCCCACTTTACAGCTGAGGAAACTGAGGTTTGAAGGCTTTGCATGACATGCACACTCACGAAGCGATGGAATGCCTTGCACCCACGCGCCTGAGCCTAAGCCCCGGCCCTTCTTCTCACACAACACCGCTCGTCCCTCCACTTTCAACCCTAGATGACGGAGCCTCGTTCATCTCTATACACTTCACACCTTCACAGCTATAATTGGAGAGATCGGCCCCCAAAATACATTTTGAATTTGATTGAATTATACTAACTAGGAGGATGCCATGAAACAAACACAGCACACACGGTTCCAGAAAAGAGTCTGCCTCACCTGTAAAGCTGTCAGCTGCAATGCTTATTTTGGTAATTGAATTACGCACATGTGTGTTGACTATTTACTCAATGAAAAGGAGCTGCGGGACATATCAGTGCATGAGATACCTCTTCTGCTTTCAGAAGCTTCCAAGTCAATGGTGAGGAGAAACTTTGTAAAGACATAGTCACAGATGAGACTTGTATGTAAGTTTCACAAAAGAAGTCTTAAGAGATTTCAAAGGAATGAGACTGACATTTCTCAATTTTCTGAGAGTTCAAAAATATTCCATCTTGGTCACAAATTAAGCTTCGCTTGCCATGCACACTTCATGAATTGAAATCAACTTAATAAATATTAGTACCTTTCTTACAAACAACAGGCTGTTTTATATTTTCAAAATGAATCTGAAAAATATTGACACCATATGTGATTTAAGGACTCAAATATAGTATCTGCGATGCGAAATTTTCTGTACTTCACTGAGAGAAATTCACTGCCAAACATGCCTTGGATTTGCTGTTTCAGAATAAAATGGAAACATACATATTACAGAATTTACCCGGGCTTGCTCCTTTTGGTGTAATATGCCCTATGTGTAAATAAGTTAACTGCGGTCTCTATTGAAAAAAAAAAACCCAAACTGTAGATTGAAGCAAATTTATAGTAAGTAGCCTAAAGAAACTCGTACTTCTATACCTACCTCCCGCTTAGATGGCTGAAGGCCGCGAGCTTCTCCTGGGTAGCCGCGGAGGACAGAGGCTCCGGCGGGCTCTCGCGTGGCTGCTCGGGCGGCCCCGCTCCACAGCCTGCGGGGAAGCAGCAGCCACGACGGCACCGCGAGGCGGGATGTCACGTTCTTGTCCAGATTATGTGATGGCCACAGAGAGCAAGCGAGCAAACAAGAAAGCAGGGAGGGAGGGAGGGAGGCCGAGGTCTGCTTGGTCCGTTCCGTGCGCGGCGTGGCCACAGCCACAGACTGCGCGTGCGCGTCACGCAAGCTCTGTTCCGGCGCCAGCAGGCGGGAGGCAGGCAGTCTGCAAGACTTGAGAGGAGCCCGGGGGAGGGGGCTGCCGGCTCCCGGGGGGAGGGCTGCCGGCTCCCGGGGAGGGCTGCCGGCTCCCGGGGAGGGGGCTGCCGGCTCCCGGGGAGAGGACTGCCGGCTCTCGGGGAGGGGGCTGCCGGCTCCCGGGGAGGGGGCTGCGGGCTCTCAGGGAGGGACACGCGCGGTGTCTTATTCCTAGGACTCGACACAGTGAGGAAGCAGCAGCGTCTGGGCGGGATGCCGGAGAGCTGGAGGCCCCGCAGAGTCTCAGCCACGCCTGCTGCCAACTAGCGTTTTTGTTTTTAAAGATGCCCTCTCAGCTGGGCGCAGTGGCTCATGCCTATACCCTAGCACTCTGGGAGGCCAAGGCTGGAGGACTGCTTGAGCTCAGGAGTTGGAGGCCAGCCTGCACAAGAGTGAGACCCCGTCTCTACCAAAATAAAAGGAGAGAAAAAGCAAACCCAAGCCGGGTGTTGCAGTGCGCTCCTGTAGTCCCAGCTAACCCGAGGCTGAGGCAGGAGGATCGCTTAGAGCTCAGGAGTTGGAGGTTGCAGTGAGCCAGTGAGGCCACTGCCACTGCTGTCTACCCAGGCCTGCAGAGTGAGACAGAGTGACTCTGTCTCAACAAAAACAAGGCAAATAAACACTCCTCCTCACAACCCCCCACCCCTTCATATTTAAATAAATAAATAAATAAATAAATATGCCCTCTATTCACAACAATCACACGCAGTTAACACTACTGTACTGCGCAGTTAGAATGGCTAAGAAGGGAAGTTTTATGTTATGTGTTTTTTATAACAACTAAAAATTTTGAGCATATGAAAAATTTTTGGCAAATAAATATGAAACTTTAAAAAAATCCCTCTAAAATTTCATCTGAAAACAGATGACCTAGAAACTAAGACATTTCAAAAAATAAAAATAATGATGTAGAAAACTACATTCTCAGACTGTAAAACTATTCATAAAAATCCTTAATATTGGTGGGAAAACACAGACCTGAAAAAAACTGAACATGATAACAATTCCAGAGCCTCTTACTATGATATCATACTGAAAACATGACATTAGCACAGCTTGGAGAACAGGGAGGGATTACTCTATTGCTTTTTGTGTTGGGCAGTTACTAATAGCAAGCTATTCCTTGAGGAAGAGGAAATAAAAACAACTTACATCTTTACCTTATCATATGTAAATTAAATTCAAGAGGAATATGCCTTATGATAGATTAAGCAAATATAAATATGCAAGTCAGGATGATTTTTTAAATAACACAATAAACTACAATTGCTATAAAATTACATAAAAGAAAAGTAAAACTTTATTATATAATATGAAATCATTGATTTCATAAAATAAAACAAATAATAAAAATAAACTAAAATGAAAACATCCCAAAATAAAAACAGTGATGTGCCTAGAATATTAATCATAGTTGTTATTTTTCTTTTTTGATTTCTACTTCTACCTTTTGTTTTGTGTTTTCCTTGTTTTCAATAAAAAAGTCTTTATTTATAAAATCCAAAAATAGTTTATTGAAGAAAAACCAAAGCTTCTTATAAGATTTACCATTATCATATTGTTGTCTATTACTACACTGAATAAAAGATTTCTGGAAATGTAAGTGTAACAGAGAGACCAGGTCACTTCAGAGCGTGAGTCACTTCAATGGAGCAAGGCTTGGCAAAGGTGGGAGGTTTCCGACAGTCAAGAAGCAACATGAAAATGCTGCATTCCTGGGAAAACAGAATTATTCAGAAAGAAAAACTGGATGGAGGCAGCGACTGGGCAGCTTTGCCAATGAACCGGTGATTGAGCATGTTTCTCTTGCTACTTTCAAAATGACGACATCAAGACACTCTAGACAAAGCCATATGTCATATGAAGGGACCTGAAGGTGCTTATTTTCCTCTACTGTTACACTGTTTCCTTAACTTAGTACTTTATCAATAATTAATAACCCACAAATGTTTGCAGATCTGGATAAAAAAAATTCATAGAAATTTTTAAAAAGAACACAAAGAAAGTAAGCTTCAAGCATATAATGAAAATTAGTTTTTCTATTTCTAAAAAGCACATTGTTTTGTCAATAAATATTTATGGAGAACTTACTGAATAAGGTATTAGACTAGGCACTGTAGATAAAATAAAAGTGAATAAGGCATGGATCCCCATTTTGAAGAGTCTGCCAGACAGAGTACTGCTCTCTACAACACAGCATTTCCAGTAAAGCCACTATCTCCCTTTGCAACCCCTATATAAAAAGGAAAAATGTAGAGAAAAGGTGCTGCAGATCAACTTTCATCCTCTATTGTCTTTCATTTCTTTTTTGAAAATATGGAACTTTAGAATTTATTTATTTCAAAGCACTAATAAAATGTGCAAGTTCACATATATATAAAGCACAAAAGCAAAGAAGCGTGTATATAACGTCATAAGTGTATGAGATGAACACAGCTGAGCAGAAGCAACCCACAGGACTTCAGTGACTATGCAGCCCTCTTTTGATGTGACAGCCAAAATGTTTTAGTTATGACATCTATTTTTTTTTAATTCATCTTGGTATTTATCCGTAGCTACTGCCAAAAAAGCAGAGAATCTGTGATTGCTAAATATCTGGCTCTTAGGCAAAAAATATCAAATTTAAATACAATCATAATTTGTTCTTAGGCTTTATGTGAGTTATCTATTTTAAACTTCATGATAACCTATGGTCAATATTATTATCCCTGTTGTTACCCTGAGGAAACTAAGAAACAGAGAGATTAAATTACCTTGTGCAAAGGCAAGCCCTCGTGAATCAGGATCCCTACCTCTCACTTCTCACAAAAATCCACTCAAGATGGATAACAGATTTAAACCTAAGGCATGAAACCTTAGGACTCTTACAAGAAGATGTTGGGAAAACCCTTTCAGATTCTTGAAGAAGACCCCCAAAGCAATCACCACAGCAACAAAAATAAACAAATGGGATCTGATCAAATTAAAAAGCTTCTACACAGCCAAGGAAACTATCATTAGAGTAAATAGACAACCTACAGAATAGGAGAAAATATTTGCTCTCTACACTTCTGGTAAAGGTCTGATAACAAGGATCTATCTGGAACTCAAAAGAATTAACAAGAAAAAATCAAACAATCCCATCAAGAAATAGGCAATGGAAATGAACACAAACATTTCCAAAGAAGACAGAATAATGGCCAGTAAACATATAAAAAATGCTCAACATCTCTAATCATTAGAGAAATGCAAATCAAAACCACAATGAAATATCACCTAACCCCAGTGAAATTGGCCTCTATCAAAAAATCCCAAAACAACAGATGCTGGCGAGGATGTGGAGAGACAGGAACACTCTTACACTGCTGGTGGGACTGCAAATTTTCGCAACCTTTGTGGAAAAGAATTTGGAGATACCTCACAGAGCTAAAAATAGAAATACCATTCGACCCAGCAATAGCATTATTAGGCATCTACCCATCTATCTAACAAACGCTGTATCACGTCGGGCTACTTCAGGAAGCCTTTCCTGAACTAGTAAGAGCAGGTCAGACGTAAACTCACTGCACCCTCTGAGCACTTTCCGCACACTTCTGTCGCACTGCCCTCTTTGTCTGAGAGCATAAGACATTCTATTATAAAGACATCTGCACCCGAATGTTTTTGGCAGCACAATTCACTATTGCAAGGACGTGGAAACAACCCAAGTGCCCGTCAATTCATGAGTGGATTATTAAAATTTGGTATATGTTTACAATGGAATATTACTCAAGTCTAAGAAATGACAGTGAGCTAGCACCGTTTATATATATTATTCTGGATTAAGCTTAAGCCCGTTATCCAAAGTGAAGTGCCACAAAACCTGAAAATTGGGCTCCACATGTACTCACCATCAAATTGGTACTGACTGATTAACACTATGGTGCTCAAATGGTGGTGGTGTTCACCAGGGATTTGGGGGGTTGGGGGAGTAGACCCACGTCTGAGGGATGTGGTAAGCATTGTGGAGGGGAAGGGCATACCTCTAACCCTTGCTAGGGAGAGGCAACATTATAAAATGTAACTAAAATATTCGTACTTTCATATTTTCTTGAAATAAAATTTAAAAAAATTACATTGTGCAAAGTCCTACAGCTTTTTAACAAAAGAGACAATATTTGAATATAGACAGTTAGGCTTAACATTACAGTTAGCCATACGCTACAATGCAGGAAAACAGAAGTACATGGCTAATTCCAAGATTTCTGGCTTGTGCAACTTGAGAAATAATGGTACCATTATTTGTTAACTGAATGAATGAATAGATGCATGGGTTAAGGGTGGAAGGTAAAAGGAGATGATCTGAATTAAGATCAGCTAAAAAATATTGTTACATTTCTGGTCTACATATGACTGTGGGTGTAAAATATAGCAGATAGAGTGTTGCAAGACAAAGGAAACATGGATGAAATACAGCCATATGAGTCATTTTCAAGGCACAGTGCAATGTGTTTGTGGGTGTGTATCTTCCCATTCAGGGCAGCCCCAATTGTTCAGCCCTGGTTGCCCCGAGCCTGCTCTGTGAATGGCAACCTGCATCCTTGCTGGGTCCCACAAGGCTCTTCCCTGTATTTCTCCTTCATGCACAATCTACAGCCAATGATCTAGCTCGGTCTCACCTGAGTAACAAACGCTGTGTCACGTCAGGCTCCTGCAGGAAGCCTTTCCTGAACTGGTAAGAGCAGGTCAGACGGAAACTCCCTGCACCCTCTGAGCACTTTC